TATCCACCTATGGGTCGTCAGATTCTTTTTAAACTTTCCAGTTTGATGCTCAGTGTTACAGACCAAAACAGCCCGAACATAAAAAAACACAAACAACAACTAATTTAACTATGAATATAATATATTACAAACAATGAACATACACTACATACACTAACTAATACTATCATGTTGCATAAACTTAAACATTTGTCAAATACAGTTAAATTCTAACAGATTCTTAGACAGTTAAGTTTTGAAAAGGCAATGTCACAGTTTTCCGAGTCCTTATCTGTTGAACGTTCCTTCTGATAGTGAGGGGTTTTGAAGACGCAATGTCACCGTTTTTCCATGTCCTTATCTGTTGAACGATCCTCCTGATAGTGTGGGGTTTTGAAGACGCAATGTCACCGTTTTCCATGTCCTTATCTGTTGAACGATCTTCCTGATAGTGTGGCCTCACAAAGTACAGTTAATAAAGTACAGTTTTGGTACTGTAAAAGTGTTACACACTGTTCACACTCACGTGTTGCATCAGTTCATGTTCTCCGGAGTCTCGCACTTAATGACAGTCCCGCACTTCATTTACATAATACAAGTATGCAGGCACATACGGTAATTACTCATAAAAATTAAACAGCAAATTAGCTTTACTAAAATAATAAACACAATAACGTCACATCAGGTAGTTAAGATAATTTTAAGAAAACAAAAACAAAGGGTCACCAGTCTAATTTTTTCTCACAGCTAACTTAAATTTCCAGAAAAACAGGCATTTTTGGCTTTTTCAAGCTTTTTCTTCAACCTTGAGTAAAATTTTGCCCATTTGCCATAAAGTAAGGCTGGTGACCCTATGTTTTTTCTTTTTCTTAAAGATAACCTGAACATCAAATCTGGAAAGTTTAAAAAAACTGACGACCGCTTTTTTCACAAAATTAATTTTAATGAAAAAGGGATAAAACAAGCGTTTTATGAAGGGTATTTACCCCTATGCATACCTCTCTTGTGAGATAATCATTTAAAACTATTATCAAGGTTATGATTAAGGTTATAAGGTTAAGGTTGACCCAATGTTGAGATCCAGTTGATATGTCAATATTGACAAAGGGTTTACAAATACAGGTTGATTCAATGTTGAAATCCTGTTGATCTATCAACATTGAAAATTGATTGACAAAGAAAGGTTAAATCAATGTTGAGACCCTGTTGATCTATCAACATTGACAATTGGTTGACAAGAAAAGGTTGATTCAATGTTGAGATCTTGTTGATCTATCAATATTGATGGATCAACAATATCTCAACCTATCCTCAATGTTGAATCAACGTTGAGTGCCCGCTGGGTTAGTACTTGGATTGTCTATTCTGAATGGCCCCAAAGTTACACTGTTGTAACAAACCATGTTCACAAATAAAGAAATACACTGCCAAAAAAATCACTATATCTGCAAATTAAAAAAAATCATAAAATATAATATGAAAATTGATTGAAATAAAACTATGGACAAGTTCCAAGTTGATCTGCTTGTTAACTGAGACACAGATCAAATATGGCATGACCCACTTGAATGCATGCTGCTTGATCCCCTACAGGGACCCCATATGCAATCCTCTGCCTTTGCATGGATGGATGGGTGTGGTTACGATGCAGGGAATCCATTAGGGTGGCATGTTTTCAAGTCTGTGCGACTAGTGACTTTGTAATACCTAGTGCCTCTGTGTAATGATTCTGAAAATAATAAAATTGGTGAAAAAAGACTCACTGACCTACTTTGCAGCTTTTATATGTCTTTTGATACATGAATTTTACTCCACGATGTACGCTTCGTGTGCCTATGTGCACGATCAAACCTCTACTATGCTTCAATTTCATAATTATTATACTAATATAAATGTTGTTCCACAGGAAGCTCAGACACCAATTTGCCCACTGGATGGCCTTTTTTATCATTTACAGTTTTAATTCGGTTTAGAAGCACAAAAAATGAAAAGCATGCTACACAACGCATGACCTAATTTCGGTATGAAATTAGTAGTGCAAACAATGATTTCTTACTGCTGCAAACACCTTCAAAGGCACAAAAGCAGATTTCATTCATATTACAGGCTGAGAAAGTTACATCTTATCTAAAAAAATTCACAGGCATTCCATTATTTGCAAACACAGGGAAAGTTACCATGTTTCAATAAGACAAACATCATGTGACCTGTTTCGATGTCATTTAGAGTGTGAAGTCAGCAGTAAAATCTACTTCATGTATGATTTATCAGACGTATTTGGTGTATATTCTTGTGTGATTCGATATAAAACCTCTTAGCCTTATGGGCTCTGTCATTTGCATTCAACTAACTTAAAAAAGAGTTTGGCAAGCAACAATTAATGCATATTGCCTTCATATGCGGTAGGCCTATCAAAAGTTGCTTCCACAGTAGCCGTTTCTATATGATACTTAGACAGTTTGGTTGGCTTAAACATATAAGAATTAAGTAGCACTTTGTGTTTGAAAATGTGATTTTTTTGATAAGGGCTAATTGACTGACACAGCAAGTGTTGGAAATGAGTTTTATGTCAGTGCAGTGCAGTGCTATGCATACCATGCCAGTTTTAGTCCATAAAGCTTTGATGTATAATCTTTGTGGGTTCCACAAAAAATGAAGGTGATTTAGAATATTAAAGTTTGTAATATTCTTGGTGGATCTTCCTCCTTGTCTGCTGAAAAATCTCTTTCTTTAGCCTCCAATTTGTTGTAATGCTGACTGTCTACTTCACTTTCAGAATCTGTGGAGTCTACTGAATATTGTACCATTTATTCAAACTCGTATAGGAAAATTTTGAGTTCATTGACTATGCCTTCCATCCAAATGATTCAAATTTGCTCAAGCCATTCAAATGCAGCATTTTATACTAGTTGCGATAACCATAATTAAATGCTAGTTAAAAAATTGAATAGAGCTAGGAACCTAGCTGACTTCATGAGGATTAAAACCGCACAGATAAGAGAGGTGAATGGGGCTGAACTGTTACCAGGAGTTTGAAAAGTCATCTTACAGTTAGATAAGTTCAAAATTTACAAAATGAATCCAATTTGTGTATTTTGATACAGATATCATTAGTTGAGCATATTTTCTCAAGAATATGCTCCGTTTAAGCAATTGAGGCTGTTTCAGTACCTCTCCAGGAAGTGTAATACTGATTTTAAACAGAAATGAAAACAATAAAAACTTCAAAAACCTATAAATATAACATCATATTGTTGGTATTTTTAACTGTTATCAATCCATTTTATCTAAAAAACAAAAACAAATATATATATATTCTTTTTTTTTCAAGAAAAATGATTTTAAATTCTAACAATTGTAATTATATGTTAATGGTATTAAACAAATAACATGGTTGTGCATTACATTTAAAACTATCACACCAGCTCCACCCAACATTTTACTAGTAATGCAAAGGAGGGGACACCTCATATTATCAATTAGCCATGCTGAGTAAAGACTGATCAGGCAATTTAAAACTAGATATCTCTAAAAAATATTTCCAGTCTGACCAACATCAACTATGAGTTCATCGTACTAAAACAAATAGCAAAGATGTGAGTTTAAAAATTCCAAATCAGCTTCATATAATGGGTTGTTATATATAAAAAGTGCCCTCATTGTTTAATTGTTCAACCATATTAAAAAGAGAGCAATTGGGCATTTTCAGACTTAGGCTGCGTTCACATGAAAAATCTATTTTTTAAAAATCTAAAAATCTTTTTGTGGTATCTTGTGATCAAGGTCTGTGCCCTGAATACCCTGTGGCGTAATTACTGGCAGCGCTGAGAATTAATTACAGCTTTGGAAGTAACTGGCTCATGCTGCCCGTAATTATGCCGTGGGGTATTCATGGCACAGACTGTGATCATAAGATACTGCAAATAGATTTAAAGATTTTTAGAAAATAGATTTTTCATATGAACGCAGCCTTAAATATCTCTTAGAAATTGATTTCAAATTCTTTATCATCAACAATACAATAATGATACCAAAACAAACAACAGAGATTTTGGTTTAAAATCAGCTCCAATGAAGAACATCAGTTATTATAAATAACAGTGGGAGTGAAAATGTATATGCTGATGTGAATATGTCAGCCATTATTATCGCCGATTAACAAAAGCTACAAAATTACACAAAAATACTTACAATACTCCACTGAATACTTCCAATGCAGCTCCTATCTTTTGTTTTTCAAAAGACTCATAATAAACAGAAAAAATGTGACGAAACACATGGCTGTGTTAACTCACTTAACCATAGCAAATCTACCTGTGCATTTGAAAATGAGACCCTTCTAATCCATAAGCATCATGGTGGGAGGCTTTCCTTTGTAGTTTGAGCATGATTCCCATCCTCTTTATTTTGAATGTTAGAGCATATATAGTTGATCATCTCTCCTAATATCTTTTTTTCAGGGGATCAGTTATATTGGAAAATGTGTATTTAATATAAAATGTAAGAAAATTAAAAGGATTGTAAGTGGCTTGAATTTTCTTACAGAAGAAGAATGTTCATTTTAACAACTGCATTTCAGGTTCTACACAAGCAGTTCATCATTCAAATACCTGATGTTGTGGGTCAATTAGAAGGAGTAGTGCTGAAAAGTGACTTACCTGAACTGAGCGATACAAATCTTCACCAAATTGAGGAAAATTCAAACATTTGGACCTCTTATGAAATACCAGTTCCCATAAACAAAGAAGAAATATGTTATTCATATGAAATAAAATGCAAAGTAGGATGGAAAGTGTGGAAGAACAAAGTTGTTACAGAAAGTAGAACACGAAAGGTCCGCCCATGCATTAAGCAGCGAGATGTTTTTATTTTACCAGATATTTCAAAATCTGCTCAACGGCAAGATCAGTTTAATGGAAAACTGTGTTTATTTGAAAACATGCTTGCTGACAGAACAGAAACAAAGCAGTGTTTAATTGAATGTGAAGAGATGGACTTCCCAGGGAATTTATCAAGAGAGGAAAGTGGGGAGTTATGCAAGTGGACAATGCATTTCATAGAGAAACATGAGAAACACAAGTACAGCACAGGAAAAATCTTGGTGGCTTACCTTGTTGCAGTGAGAAGTTTAAAGTATTCACAATCATCAAGAAAGCTGCTTGATAATAGAAGTGCAATGCTTATCATTGGAAAGTTGAAATCTTGCACTGTTGCTGACATACCAGAGAGTTACATGGGTATGGTTGAAAGACTAGCAGTGGAACTTTGCCAGCTTGCTTTTAGCAACAAAAGTACTTTGTTGCACTTAATTGACAATTTTAACCACCTGTTGGGCATGGAAACCATCATTAACATTATTTCTTCACGTGGGGGAGAATTTTGTTCTCCATTTGATACAACAGAAAACAAAAAACTATTTGAAACTGTGATGTCTAGACTGACTGCTTCAGATGTTGCACCCAGACACCTCAAATGTTTGTTTGAGAAACTTATTTCTCAGTGTGTTAGTCCTTTAGACTTGTTGTTTTTTAAAGATGAGTGCATTGGCTGGTCTTGTGATGAATCACTGATAAATGACTGCATGAAGCTTACAAGGACCCGCATGGTGATTGCATTAAAAGAATTCACTAAGCAAAATTACAGTCCAGAAAAACTGAAAGAAGTTTTTAACTTGTGGTGCAAAGTTAGAGATGATGATATGATATGCAATCCAGAGATACAATGCATTTTTGAAGATAGCATCTTTAGGAAACTACAGTCTCAGAGAGTTGCCGATACAATTTGGAAAGATGACACAGCAGAGAAACTGCAGGCCTTTATAATGGAATCCAAAGTGTTTCTGTGTGAAGAAAAAGGTTATGACATGCTTTTACTTTTATCAAAAAGTAAGCACCAATGTCTTCATGCTCTTGTTCCAAGTATTTTAGCAACAGACAAATTTACCAGGTTGTCACAAGATAAATTGGAAAAAGTCACACAAACTTGGTTGAAGATGGCATCAGAACACCATAGCAAGACTAAAGCTGGACCACTTTCAAAGCCATCTGATCGTATCCTGTACATATACCAATATCTTCTCCAAGCCATTGAGGTTCCATCTGTAAAGACCTGTGTCACTATGACAGAAGACCTGGAAGCTTTTGTTAAGGGCATTATTCGTCAAATTGGCATATCTTCAGTTCTTGATAAGGCTCACAAGATGGATAACCTCCCTGATCATGCACAGTCTCTGTTTCGTGAACATGTCAAAGATATTATCAGAGCTGACTCCAGTGACTCTGGTGCATCTTTGGAGACAATCATTAAAGGCCTGAAAGGATCTGACATGCATCTGTACATTAACAGGTATGTGCTGCATTTTTTCATATATTTTTACATAATTACATATTTCCTTCCATTTTGATATATAAAACATATATGTAAGACAGTTATTTCACACTGGTTTTCTTTTTTGATATACAGACAATCTTTGGGTCTGTATATATTCTGATGCATTCACTTATCTTCTGGTTGTTACTGTTGGTCACATCAGTTTTTACCCCATTACTGCCCAAACACATTTTTGTTTTGAAAGTATGAGGTTTCTTTCAAAATATCAGTATGATAAGTTTATTTTTACCATTCCACCTTAATTGCCAAACCGTGATTTTCTTTTTCTTTAAGTTTAGGGAGCTTTAATTGGTTAAGAAGCTTATTCAGATTTTTTATGTACAGATCATCAGCTTGATCAGTTTATTTTTATTACTTCAAAGTATTTTTGAGAAATTTGCTATATAATTTTTTTTTTCAAATTTGCTGAGTGGGTTTATTTGGTAAAATTACAGGTTCATTGTAGATATCAGCATATTCAGATTATTTTCATGAAAGTTATTTTTTGTCTTTAAAGTGGATTTTAATGACATTTGTCCTGTAAAGGCCAATTTATTTTAGGACCATTCTGTGTTTTTTTAGCAGTTTTGGAAGGACATTTGACACTTCAAATGAAAATTTGAAAAAAGTAAAAAAAGTTGGGAGGCCCACTTTTGGTATGTTTATTTCTCTATATGTGAGTAATGTTTAGGTAAAAAAAGGATTGAAAAAGTTAAGGACAAATAGTAAAAATTAGTAAGGACATGAACTTCAACTTTAACACCAAAACTCTGCTCCGTCTTTGGAGATACTTTTAAAATCAAAGCAAAATATGAATATTTGATTATTTTACTTTCTAAATGTGTGTAAAGTGTTTTTGAAAAATATTTAATTTGAAAATTTTGCATATATAAAAATCAAGTATACCGTGTAGCTATTAAGTAACCAAACTACATGTGCACGCAAGATCGATAACTGATTTAATTTCCATAAGATTACCACCTGCCCCCTTCCTTATACAGTTGCAGGATTAATTTTGAGGACACTTTAATAGCCTTGGTTTATAATCCTTATGGTAGTTAAACGACTATTATCGGTGCGTTAATTTTAGGGAATTAAACCTTAAGCCGTTGGGACCCAGCAGCGATAAATACTACTCTAACTCGGCCTAAATTTACTCAGCTCGCTTTTAGCCACCCACTGTGAGCAGGACACCATCATCAATAGAAAAGTATTCCTGCACTTTCATTTAGATAAACAGGGTGATAAACCCGATGGGGTGAACGGGGTGAAAATACCGGCCTTTGTAAGAACAATAGCAGCCCGCGGATCGCATCGCGTATTTCTCGAATTAAATGCTCTCAAATTGCCTTATACTGTTGAATAACCACGAAGAAAAAATCAATAACTGAAAGTCCTGGCATAATCCCACCTTTTATAATACTTTTTTTTACATTTCAAATGACGAACATTTTGCTGTTGCGAAACACGCTAATAAAAATTACGCACTATCTTTCCCGACTTGCGTTTATTCAGTTTGATGCACTATAAAATTAAGAAATTTAAATGTTACAATTATATCATTGTCAAGGTATTTAATTTCAATTTTGAAATAAATAGTGTATGTATCACAACTGCATAAATTTTCATAATTATTCTAGTCGTACACCATGATACACCGCAGTAGGGTTATAAGATTGCAGTCATTTTAATTATTCGTATGACAAACAAACTGCCAAATTATGAAAGTGGACACCTTCCGGACCTCCATACATACGGCACCTGGCAAAGCTGATAGACAAAAAGGCAATTTTAACATTTTCAGCGCGAGATCGTTTGCAATCCGAGAGAGACGAGGAGGCAATTGTCATATCTGCTAAAAAGACTTCGTTAGCCAAAGAGCAAGACGGGAACGCAAGTTTTGTATCGTCAGCGGGAGATCGTTCCCAATCCGAGTGAAACGATAATGCAATTCTCATATCCGTTCAATAACTCCCGTTTGCGGAAGATCGTCAGCCGGAGATCGTTCTCGATCTAAGCGAGACAAAGAGGCAATTTTCATATTCATTCATGGGAATTGGTTCAAAAAAGAGTGTCAGCGCCAGATCGTTATCGATTGTTATTAACCCTCCCTTCCCATTGAAATTTATTATTTTATAAAATATTTTTCACTTCATCACACTCCCACCCCATTTTGGACAGCCTGTATCCCAATCCTAGAAAAAAGGCTTGGTTCTGGGTGAAATGATGTAATTGAACTTAATTGAATAGCCGCAATGTATTTAATTTTATCTGATGATTTTATTACTGGTGAAAACTGAGCTATGATATTTGGCGAATTTAATTTATTTTAAATTTACATTTAACCGTACCTGGGAATTTTGAAAATCTGTGCTTAGAATTCTAAAAGGTCAGGTTACGCCCCTGATCCTTAACCTACCCCTCGCTGGTTAATTAGTACCACCAGCGTGTACGCTGGCGGTATTCATGGTTTTAGTCCCGACCCGTCTCGTCCGGCTNCTTTGCATATTTTCTGGCCTCTCATATCTTTAAAACTAGCAGAGATGTGCCCCTTGTTGCCCCTAGGTTTTCTCTTTTGTCAGCATGCATATATGCACCATTGACAACACTTTTCAAGGAAAACCAATAGGCCTTTTGTCTAGAGAATACAGGAGTGATCAAGGGTAGGAAAATGAAAGTCAATTCGAAAATCTGCTTGATTGTACCATTTTTAGTTATATTTTTTGCATATTTTAAGAACTCTTATTGATTGCATCTTATAGAGCTTGTCAAGCACAAGACTGGTGATGGTGTCCCTTTTTGGAGGGGGGGGGGGTCCATACGAATGCGCTTACTCCAGCTGGTGGTACAATATCCGGAGGCGGTATCGCCTCTCTGATCCTCTAGTTACTAGTTTACTTAACATCACAAAATGCAGTAGATCACTTTCCTGAAACCGCACTAATACGTGTATCAACAGATTTGCTCGCGGGGTTTATGTAAAGGGTGGTTGATTTTAACTTGTGTAAAGGCAATGCTTAGGTTTTGCGTAGCTCGTGAAGTTTATATGCACTTTTTCTCAAAAATGTTTTAACATGTCCTGCCCCACCAGCCAGCTTTTGTTCATTACATCCTGGATATAGCGGTTTCGTTCGTGTCTCTCAAATATATGAGTCGTCGTAGAAACTTTCAAAACTTTACTTGCTTCATGAAAGTCTGCCCTTCCACATCAAAGTCGAACATTCTGCGTGTGTTGCTAGACTTTGCTTTGATTATTTTCAGCGACACAAGTTGAGAGAAGTCTTATCCGCCCTGACGCGTAAACAAGAGTTGCAGCTCTTTGTTAGTTACGAGCTAATTGCACTCTTAACCTACCCCTCGCTGGTTAATTACTAGTTTAGTAAACAGTACAAAACGCAGTACAAAACAAAGATCACTTTCCTAAAACAGAAAAAAGCTCTGTATCAGTTCATATATGCTATCTCACCCATTATCACTACACAAATATGAGCGGTAGCTGTCGTGTGTACTGGGTAAGGGGGTGGCAGTGAAACATTTGTAATAAATATAGATACAAAGAATGTTCGCATCCTTCACCCCCTGGTAAATAATTACAAAATTGGGTTGATATGTATTGTAGGGTGGCGTTTCGTTATTGTTTTTATTATCTTATCATTTTCCTTTGTGTGAACGTTCTTTGTCATGAAGTGCGTTGAGTCAGATGGTTTTATCCCCCGAATAGCTGAACGATTCACTGTCCATCTCATGCGTGTGGCAGTTGCTTTTTATATATATTTGTTTTAGATTTGTTAGCAATGTATGTATGTTACTTGGTATACGTTGCGGTGTACAGAATGTGGTCACAGACGTAAGTATTTGCATCGTGATAGACTGGGCATCGAGATCTAGGTGGAGAAGGCAAATTAGGTTAATAACGAAGTTTATGGCCATAGTAATTAGTGGTCGATTTCTCACCTCATTCTCTTCAACCAGAGGTAGTTACAGATAACCATCGCCTGTCTTTATTTCAGGGACAATAGTGCTGGCTCATGAGAGCATTGATAGTTTCCTACTCTTTTGTCACTTCCTCTTCCATTGTCTGCTGAGGTATGTCCGATGAATACCGATAAGGACAGAGACATCAGCACGCATATAACAATACTTCTGGAAGGCTCAAAATTATCACAGTTTATGTAATTTTATTTCAAAGATCAACTTAAAGATTGAAAGCACTCACTACCAACACTCGGAATTTGTACAAATACTTTTTTCGAAAAGAACTTTCTCAAACGGAATGTTGAGATGTTGGTATGTGCTTTGTAGGCTGTTGATTGAGATCGGGTTCAGCCCCGTTGTAAGAAAATATATGTTATAGTGATCCAAAACTATGCGATATTATACTCATTTTTGCTTTATTCTTATTTAAGATATATTATAATAACACCTGTAGGTGAAATAAGAATGTAGTGATGAAAAAAAGTGGGAGGGAATACCAGAGGACTAGCGGACTCCTTATATAAAATAATGACAGGGAGAAAACCTGATGTGAGAGTGGCCTTTGTCTTCTGTCTTTCTTTCAAATTTTACTGCACTGCAGATACCAATGTTTCTAAGTCTTTGCTGAAGAATGCTGATACTGGTACGTGTTACTTTGGAACGCTTGACCCACGTAGCATCCTAGGGGTATTTAAGTTTTCACTGAGACAGGAAAAAAAAACAGAAGAAAAAATTGCTGAAGTGTTTCCTATTATTCATACTAATGAATCTGTTATCTGTTTGCCAAAAATCATTTTTGGTTTGACCACATTCTCTATTGTGTCTGTCTGAAGAGAAAAAAGGATACAGGGTATATATTAGAAGCGTTTTACTTGGAAAGAGGGTCTACCGTACTAGGATTAAGAATGTGAACATTTACCCCGTGGACCATTTGAAGATTACACTGCGATTAATGCGGTGGAAAATACAATAGAGAGAGTGTATAATGATAGGGTCGCTAAACGATTGTTGACGGCATATAGTAACTAGCCTAATCCCCTGGTCGCCTGGGTAGCCACGCCCCCTTAGAGTACTTATGTAAACAAACGGTCCACCGTTGCGAACTATCCTTTTGGTCAACAGCTTCGCGCGTGCAGCTGGTTATGTATTTAGTGACACTATAGCTAACTGCATATAAATTTGTGCTAGCCGTTATTTGATTCATTCTGCTGTGTCGGATGTTGTGGATCAGCCCACTGGTTCGTTGACTTATGTTTTTCTGAAGATTGATAGTGCAGATTTTGAGTGCTTATAATTNTGTGTATGCGTACATGAAGAACAATTGCATTATTTTAAATAAGGTTTAATTACGTTTTGTTTACATTAATACAAACGCTGGATAAT